TCTTCTTCTTCTTCTTCTTCCTTCTTCTTTCTTCTTTCTTCTTTTAAGTTTTTATTGATTTCAGAGAGAGGAAAGGAGAGGGAGAGAGAGCTAGAAACATCAGTGATGAGAGAGTCATTGATCGGCTGCCTCCTGCGAGCCCTAGACTGGGGATGGAGCCCGCAACACGGGCATGTGCCGTGAATGGGAATCGACCGTAATCTCCTGGATCCCAGGTGGATGCTCAACTGCTGAGCCATGCCTGGATGGACTGTATTCTTCTTTATAAATTATTTTTAGAGCATTTTATAATTTAAAAAGATTTTTAGTATTATTTTTCCTCTTAGAATGTATTTTCTCTATTGTATTGGAATTTTAAAGATTTTCTATACATGATAAAGTGTGATTTCTTAAAGGTCATTCAGAAGAACATGACTAATTTTATAATAAAAATAAATATAAAAATAAATTACTTTTAAGAAAATATATCTACTATGCAGTTATTTTGTTCTATAAAGTATACCTGTATTTAGAAATTTACATAATTAAAGCCTTTAAATAAAATTTCTTAAAGTATTAATATAAATTGATTAGATGAATTAACTTACCAAGAAAGGCAGGGTTAATGCCAGGATATTCACAACTAGGAAAAAACTTTTCATAATTACACCTAAAAATAGAAATTAAAAGTATTAAATTAAAAGGATCTGTTACTTATAATTTAGGAATGATTTTGAACAATTTTACATAAGGAAATAAAAGCAGATTGATGGGTAGATTTAGCCAATGTGGAAAATCTATTTTATCAAAAGCTTTAGAACAAACAAACTTGGAGCATAACATTTATAACTTTAACTTTAATTTTTGGCTGTATTACTGAAAGTATCATTACAAGTTTAATCATCTATTTATTTACCATGTACAAAGAACCTACTAGAAAAAAGGCAGCATGTCAAGTGTTGAGTTTATCAGGGTGACTTGGTCTTGTCAACAGGTAGCATCAATTTTAGGGGGAGAGTCGGACCATGCACAAATCAGTGTAAGAGGAAAGAAAATGAAAATGCCACAAAAGTGGTTTTCTACAGGCATGCTTTCCATCAAGAAATCAACAAATTATTTGTGTAGGAGATAGCATATAGGTGGGACTTGTCCATGCAGAGATTAATATAATAGGGGGGGAACTTTATCAAGTAGAGGAGAAAGCCTTGGGAATATCCATGGGTATTTTGAATGAAGTGTTTTATGAGAAGAAAAAGATAAAGTTAGGAAGAAAGTTTAGGGCAGAAAAGGGACAGACCTTATATGTCAGGTTAAAGAGTTAGGCGTGGCTTTTTAAACAGCAAAAACCAGTTGGGTGGTTTTGAATTAAAGACTAATGTGACTATACATTCCTTTAGAGGACCGAGTCCTCTCTCAGGCTCTCTGTCTACTTGTGTAACTTTGGCTAAGTAATTTCCCTTGCCTGGGCCTTACCTTTCTTACCTACAAAATGAAGGTTTAAACTAAGTGATTTCTAAAATTCTATAATTTAATGATCGATCTAACAAGATTATGTAAAATGGAGGGGAGAGAGGGTATTCTGAAATTGCTTATTTTATAACCTGCTTTTTCAGTAATCGTAAATGACCTGATTAGCTTTATCATTTTGATGAGAAATATAGATATGACAATTATAGTGGCTTTGACTGAAATGTTGAAAGAAATAAATTAGCCTTCTCTTTCTAAAGGAGTATAGGGGTTGTCACACCTTCCTATATAATTCTTTTTAAATAAATTATTTCCAGAAAGATACATGCAACACTTTCAACTTTTAATGTTTAAGTACATATTGTATTTGTGAAATAAACACTATCTATATATTTTTGCAGCTATTGATATTGTCATAGTAAAATTGACTTGAGTCCTACAAACTGAGTTTTACAAAGCAAGGTCACAGAGTTAAACTCCAGGCTAGGGAAAGGGAAGCATATCAGACTCCATTTGCCTCAGTTTCTTAGTTAGTAATGATTAGGAAGGCTGTTTACTAAACTGACTTCAAAACTGCTGATAGGATATCATTGGATGGAAAAGAACTCTTGCGAAATCAAATTTGAACAACTGTATCAAACTCAAGTTTCATTGAGATTGATGGAGTTTCTTATTAAATCCTCACTTGCCAATTAACTTTTTTCCAATTAATATACATTTGAGCCCTGGCTGGTTTGCTCAGTGGTTAGAACATTGGCCCTGGGACTGAAGGGTCCCAGGTTTGATTCTGGCCAAGGGCACGTACCTCAGTTGAAGGCTCCATCTATGGCCCCAGTCGGGGTGTGTGCAGGAGGCAACCAGTTGATGTGTCTCTCTCACATCAATGT